ATATATATATATATATACCACGGAGTTTCGATATATACAAAAGGTTAAACAGGGTTTTGATCATACACACACGAATATATATATGTAACAAACAACACAATATAACTAAAATTAAACAATTATTTTCCATTACCAGTCCTAGTCGTCAACATTAAGCCATAACGGATAATGTATGTGGTCATAGCACCCAAATGTGTTGGGGATATTCCACCTATCAAACAAAAGGATCAATAATAGAAAAATAATTGTTTAATTTTAGTTCTGTTGTAATGTTTGTTTTATATTAAATTCATTCCTGTTTTATAGTACTAACTTAATCGCCTACTGACAATTAATGTAAGTGATACTATTAGAACTATTTATATGTATAAATGTGCAATATTCAAAGATTTATCAATATGGTTGTCTTACAAAAAGCATGACTCTGGGTCAAGAACCCGCGTAATATGTACAATACTGAATTATTTTTATTGGACAGCTCTCTTTATTGTAGTATAGTCACCTGGTGACTCAGTGGTAAACTTGCAGGCTTATAACGATAAAAACTGGGTTTCAATACCTGTAGTGGGCAAAGCACAGATAACTCATTGTGTAGCTTTGTGCTTAACAACAAACAAACTTTTTGTTTATACTCCGAGTAACATATTCACAGCCCTTTCAATTATTTAAATTATAATGGAACTATAAATGATATTCGTTGTGTTAACAGAAAGACACAGTAAAACTTTTATGGATCAGTAAGTGTTAATGAACTCGATCAATTCCTAACAAATACATCACACAGCCGGTAAACGGAGAAAAAGTCCCAGTAAAAAGGGCCTGCTATATAGGTAAACCCAACGTTCCGTATAAATATCCTGGGTGATACAAATCTTGACAAAAATGCCTTTAAAAATTGATATCCATGTCTTTTATGACCTATTGTTTTATGAATTTATTTCCTACATCTTTACTAGGAAATTGCTCAGCGGCAAGTCTGCAGATTTATGACGCAAAAAATCGGGTTTCGATACATGTGGTGAGTAGAACACAGATAACCCCATTGTGTAGCTTTGCGCTTAACAACAACCAATCACTATGAGATTTCCAAAATGCATTTCACAACATTTTGTAGAATTTAATCGTTGTTTTTAGTTTCACGACGACGAAAATAATTTCAAGATTTTAAATATATTTCTAATTTTTGAGAGTATTTTCATCTTTGTCATGCTTTCATAAAGTCACAGGAACGTAGTCATGGTGACGAGTTAAAATTTTTTTTTGATTATTTCACAAAAGGTCTCCCGAGAAAATCACAACAATGTATCATTTTATACAAATTACAGCGCCCTAAACCACATATGCATAAAACACCAAGAATCACTTGAATAATGTAAGCACAAACTACTAAAGTTTATTAAAACTTGGGAACATTAAATCCCTGTATCTTATTATCACCACTGGTTTGATAATTTTTTATTTTATTGTTGGATATGTGAATTGCTTGTTTGTTGTGAAGCGCGAGACTGTGCCCACCGCGATTATCAAAACCTAGTTTTTGGCGTTATAAGTCTTCAATCTCATTACTGAGACAATGGGGGGTGGGGTAATTACCCCATCAGTGCAGCTCGTAAAATAAGAAAGAAGTGTAAGAAAGTTTAATCTTATACCAAATATATCTGTACATATATATTTTTTTAAGAAATTAAAACTACACTATACATTACACCAAATAATCCCAAGAAAAGTACTTTATACAGTGCACTACAACACTACACTACACTATTCAATAAAATATAAAACAAATAGTTAGTTACTGTATACCATAAATACGTTATATACCACATTATACAAATCACACTATACTATGTTGCACAAACTAGACTACGCTACAATATACTGTATAACTCCGCAGTACACTATGCTGCACATATTAGACTACCCAACACTATACTATACAATTCCGCAGTAAACTATGCTGCACAAACCAGACTACGCAACACTATACTATACAACTCCGCAGTAAACTATGCTGCACAAACCAGACTACGCAACACTATACTATACAACTCCGTAGTAAACTGTGCTGCACAAACCAGACTACGCAACACTATACTATACAACTCCGCAGTAAATTATGTTGTTTTGTTTATAGTTAAGCGCAAAGCTATATAAACGGCTATCTGTGCTCTGCCCACCACGGGTATTGAAACCCGGTTTCTAGCGTCGTAAGTCCGCAGACATACTGCTGCATCACTGGGAGGGGCGTCTATGCTGCACAAACTAAACTAGCCTAGTCTGAAAATGCGTTTAAAGTAGAGGTAATTTCTTTTGTTGATTTATATTTTCCATTGTTTTCTGATTTTTTAACAACATGAAAGTCCATTATTATTGGTTTGTGTACCACCTCACGTCCACGTTGTGTTGTTATGATTTATCATCTCTCATTGTTTTATGATTGTTAACAACATGTAAGTCCATTATTGTTGGTTTGTGTACCACCTTACGTCCACGTTGTGTTGTTATGATTTATCATCTTTCATTGTTTTATGATGATTAACAACATGTATGTTCATTATTATTGGTTTGTGTACCACCTTACGTCCCCCATTGTGTTGTTATGATTTATCATCTCTCATTGTTTTATGATTTTTAACAACATGTAAGTCCATTATTGTTGGGTTTTTTACCACCTTACGTCCACGTTGTGTTGTTATGATTTATTATCTCTCATTGTTTTATGATTGTTAACAATATATATGTCCATTATTGTTGGTTTGTGTACCACCTTACGTCCCCATTGTGTTGTTATGATTTATCATCTCTCATTGTTTTATGATTTTTAACAACATGTAAGTCCATTATTGTTGGTTTGTGTACCACCTTACGTCCCCATTGTGTTGTTATGATTTATCATCTCTCATTGTTTTATGATTGTTAACAATATGTATGTCCTCTATTGTAGGCTTGTGCACCTCGTTACGTCCACTTCTCATTCAACCATAAACGCAGAGAACCCGTTGGCACTTGCTGGATATCACATGCGTCTTTCTCAGATTTTTACGAGTACTCCCCCTGTCGAACAAGTAAGTTTAATAATTACCATTTACTATTGACATACAGAGTAAAATGAGTTAAGTTAGAGGAAGCTCGTGTCCAGGTTTAATATTATATTGTCATTATTATTGTTATTATTACAGTATATGTTACTGAATATCAATTAATGATCTTGTATGTTAGATTTACCATTTCTTTCGTTATGTTTCGTGTTACCTGTGCACACACACACAAAAAACACGCTTTTATCGATCACGTTTTCAACTCTTTATAGAAAATGCGATGTACCACAGTAAGTGATATTTGGAATTTACTTTTTTATTCGATGTACTACATTTTATTTAAATTATGGGGACGTAAAAAACAAAGAACTTCAGGAAAAATAGGAGAAAAACAGTAGCCAGTCTGAGGTTTGTAATCAAAAGACTGAATAAGTCTAATCTCCTCTCTGCTATGTTACACACTTTTACCAGCACTTTTAATTCAGAGAAGATGTGTTACCAATACATGCCTAGTTGTCTATTACAAGCTTTTGTTGTTTGTTCTGTATCTGACTTTCAAGTGTGATCCGATGAAACTGGCAACCACCTTACCGATTTGTTAAAAGATAAAACCTTAGTAGTTTATCAAAGATATAACAAACACCAATTAAATAACAATGATTAATTTGCAACCACTTACAAAGATATAACAAACACCAATTAAATGTTTATTTGTTTGAAGTTAAGCACAAAGCTACACAATGGGCTATCTGTGCTCTGCCCACCACGGATATCGAAACCCGGTTTCTTGCGTTGTAAGTCCGCAGACATGCCGCTGTGCCACAGGGGGGCACCAATTAAATAACAATGTTTAATTTGCAACCACTTACAAACATATAACAAACACAAATTAAATAACAATGATTAATTTGCAACCACTTACAATGATATAACAAACACCAACTAAATAACAATGATTAATTTGCAACCACTTACTATATGTAAAACGTTCTTCAATCTCATATAGCACCTTGCTTCTAGAAGTTTAATTTCTTTCAGGTATTAAAACAGGTAAATTAACTGAAAACAATCGTAGCTCCAATCGCGTCTATTTTAGTCTCACCTGGTTGCTTAACTCGTGTACGACTGCCTTTTAGAGTATCACTCGGTTGTCTTGAACACTAAGCCTAATTTGTATGTGGAGACGCTGAACTCCGACTACTCTCTTGCATTAATACAATAACTGAATTGTAATTAATTAACTCTCCGCTTAATACCTACTCACGTATATACGGTTTAAGCAACCAATTATTTAAACGTTCTCCACCTGTTTCTACAGGCTATTATTGTCGGTATTTATCCTATCGAAACATCACATTGTCATTGATACATATTGACGAAACTTGTTAAAGCAGCGAGAGGCACTGCTAAGTCCTTTATTCTTTCTCTTAAACAGTTTTTACATAATTTCTTTTCGGGCACATTGTGCTATTATATTAGGAGTAGCCCCCCAGTCTTTCTTTTCTGTCCTCATTTCGTTCAAATGCTAAGGATACCAACAATAAACTTCGTTGATTTTAGTGTAATGTTTTCGTCAGTTAACCCTTCAGTTGATACGCATGTTTATTATGTAATTCATATAACACTAAATATAATATATAAAGTTTACAAAAAAAGGGATTTTAACTTAACGGTTTAATGTGAGGAGACATAAATGTGATGTAATTCAACTACCCTCTTAGACCAACGCCCCCCCCCCCCCCTAGTCGGCACAGCGGTATGTCTGCAGACTTACAATG